CCTTCTACTGCTGCTATTTCCACAGTAAAAAGTTACCATTTTCGAGTCACTTCTATACAGCCTTATATCGGACGCCATCACACGAACGTTCTTCGCTTCCTATATAATCGGCAGCTATCGATTCCTTCGTTGAGGTATCAATTCCGTCTAATTCCATTCGATACCAGATCAGACTCCGTGGACGAGGTAGTGGTGAGCTGATAGTTATCGATCCTGGGTCGTTTCGATCAGCGGCCATAATTGACGGGACGGAGACGATGACTCAACGAATTCCTTCGATGCCTTTTCTACGGCGTTTCGTATCCCAGAATGCCTCGGTAAAGCGCCATCGAGTGCAAATTGCGGCGGATAGTCGATCCAGGTCAAGTCGACGCGCACGTTTACGAACGAGGCGTATTGTCGGCCGTTTTGCGATTAAACGAATAGCACACGAAGACAGAAGGGAACCGTGTATTTCCTCGTGCCGCCGTCGTGGGTCCGGTGACAGGCAGTCGTTTCATTGCCCCGAAGGCTCTCGCACCGCCCCGATATTACGCTCATGCCTGTATCGTTTCGCGTGATTTATGAGCCCCTCCGCACAAGAATACGCGCGTGCAGCGAACTTTGTCGTGGGCACAACCAGACACCGTGGATTTATTTGTCCGGGAACGGTCGCTGGGCTGCGGTCGTTTGAATTGATCGCCATTGGCCGGCAATGTCTTCCCAGTGGTTATTCACTGTTAGACAAATGATTCGTCTATAAAAAGTTTTTATGCGCCGGTACCGTGTCACTGTCGATGCTTGCGAAGTAGAAATGGCCAGTAATGGACAGACGTGTGATTCGAGTGATAAACGCACGTGTACTCGAGGTGTCATGAATCTGGTTTTTGTTTCGTATATGAAATACATCAATTCCACATTGTTACTATACAGGGTGGTTCATTTAAGTTTGACACGCCTGAAAATCTTTTTTAATTGTGAAAACGGGAAAACTATTTTATATGTCATTTGAATTGTATTAAGTGGTCAGTATCTTGCAGGATTTGTTTTTTCTTTTCAAAGGTCTTTTTTCTTCAAGGTCTTCGATGTTTTTTTTTCAATTAACAACATGTTTTTTCCGATCGTATCGCGTAGCTTATGATTGAAAAAATATTATATTTATATAAATGTAAAAATATTACATTTATATGAGAAAAACATCGATGACCTTGCAGACTTTGAGGAAAAAACTACATTTGAAGAAAACAACGCCTGCAGGACATTGACAACTTACTACTATTCAAATTACGTATAAAATATTTCTTGCGTTTTCACAATTAAGGAAGATATTCAGGGGCCACACTTAAATATCCTCGTTGAACGTGCTCTGTTCCGTCGTAGACCGAAACGACGGTTATACAGTCAGACGATACCGTTACTTTTTATTATTTTATTCCTTTTTTTTCAGTCAATTTATATATTTTGCAAGACCGACCCTTTGCAATTTTAATTTCGTTAACACAAAGAGAATAATAGACAAAAGAAGCGAACATTTGGTCTGCAGTCCGCCAC